GGGAGGTTACCAAAGTGTGGACACGGCATCGGTGGTACCTATGAGATAATGGCACAGAGAGTGAGATCACATGTCTGGTCGCCGTGAGAGTCATATCGTAGTAATCATGGGTTTGACGGCAGGTGTCGCTCAAGTGAGTCCATGAGTAGGCTTACCTTAGATGGTGGTGACAGTCAGATGGTAACTATCAGTGGATTGGGAAGTGTTTGCAAAGGATTTGTTTCTTCAGAAGAGATCACTTCTTCAATGACATCAAAATGTCTGCAACCGTTGAGCGCATGCGTCCGTCCACTCACCCATTCATACATTACGTTATGGTTTTGGGTGAGAGAGTGGGCTATCGATAGACAGGAAGTGGTGTGAAGTGGTTGAAGAAGAAGTGATCAAAGTTTAGACATTTGTTTGCTTTCGAGGAATGACTGTTTCGGTGATCACTTGTGCGATGTAATTGACGGAACAGATGACAACCTCTTGAGTGGCAAAACACTTCAGTTATTGAAAAAATACCGGTTCTCCCTCTCTCTCTCTCTCTCTCTCTCTCTCTCTCTCTCTCTTGTGTGGAAGTCATGGGTACTTATCATAACTCTTGAGTCTAACAGTGAATTCCTGGGAGGTTACCAAAGTGTGGACACGGCATCGGTGGTACCTATGAGATAATGGCACAGAGAGTGAGATCACATGTCTGGTCGCCGTGAGAGTCATATCGTAGTAATCATGGGTTTGACGGCAGGTGTCCCTCAAGTGAGTCCATGAGTGGGCTTACCTTAGATGGTGGTGACAGTCAGATGGCAACTATCAGTGGATTGGGAAGTGTTTGCAAAGGATTTGTTTCGATGAAGAGATCACTTCTTCAATGACATGAAAATGTCTGCAAATGTCTGCAACCGTTGAGCGCATGCGTCCGTCCACTGACCCATTCATACATTACGTTATGGTTTTGGGTGAGAGAGTGGGCTATCGATAGACAGGAAGTGGTGTGAAGTGGTTGAAGAAGTGATCAAAGTTTAGACATTTGTTTGCTTTCGAGGAATGACTGTTTCGGTGATCACTTGTGCGATGTAATTGACGGAACAGATGACAACCTCTTGAGTGGCAAAACACTTCAGTCATTGAAAAAATACCGGTTCTCTCTCTCTCTCTCTCTCTCTCTCTCTCTCTCTTGTGTGGAAGTCATGGGTACTTATCATAACTCTTGAGTCTAACAGTGAATTCCCGGATATAATGAACCACTTATTCATACACAAGAGTCACCCAATTATTACACTATAAATACATTTATATTGAATACGAATTGAATGCAGATTTCAATTAAGATTTGACACAAAATGCAAACTTTTTTCTTATGTTCACTGTTTGTGTCTCGCATTCATAGTATGAATACAAATACAGAAAAATAAGAAATTAATTGCATTCACAAAAGCATATAAAAAATATTCAATTTGTCTGTCGATATACACACATTCAATGGTCTAATCGTTTTTCACAAAAGGGTTTGTCTCTCGAAAACTCAACTCCAGAAGCAGTTCTTCAGAAGCAGTCCTTAAGACTCTCAATGGGGTCTCAAGAGGTCTGAATCGTGACAATAATGTCTTTTGAGTTGAGTTTTTGGTTTAATCGGAGAACTTATCGATGATTTATTGGCCAATAATTCTGGTTTTCATTTGAATGCATATATACTATACTTATACTGATTTTGTGCACTTTTTATAGTTTAATAGGTTTTTGAAAATAACAAAAAGCCAGTCATTATATCATATATTTTTATTTGTCTTGTTTTACACACTATTAAACGTAATTCTGATTAATTCATAGTAATTGTGGACAAAATAACACACGTTTTATAATAACCTAAGTTGCGGCCCATAACTGTTATAGGCTATGATTAAATAGTTGGGATACAGGTGCTCTCCTATGTAATTACACTTATTATTCTGTATAAATTGTAGACACTGACTTATTATTTGAATCCCTTTTTCTATTATGAATGCCTGTGTATTGTTTGCACTTTTGATACACGGTACTTTTAACTGTTGTTACGATGGCACCGGTATTTAATCATAACTTTCCAGAAGTTTTGACGAATTCTTATGCATTCAAATGCTGTTTAAAAAATAGTTTTCGTTTTTGTTTTTCTTTTGTATTAATTTTCTCATTAAATAAATTATAAATCATACAAAAAAGTTATACTGTAGCTCCAAATCTAAACTATTTAAAAACTACTGCAATCTTAACTATTAAGGCACAGAATTTCATTAAATGCCTGATTACTAATAACTGTTATTTTGATTATTAAACTATTTTTAATATTTTGTTATTTTTTGTGTCGCTTATTAATGGATTAAATTACATACGAAATGCAAATCAATTAAATATTACATACGAATGACTCGTTTTATATGATTGAAAGCATCGCTAATTCATTTGAGACCAGAAATGTTTGCTTCAAATGAATATTAAAACGAATTTTAAATCAATAAAATTTTTTTGTTGTTTTCTGCATTCAAATTATATGCGATTTATTTCAAATTTAGTCACAATTTTGCATTAATTTTGTTTCAATAGTAATACACTTAGACTTATAAATCATTTTAAATTTTATTGTTCTGACAATTCAATTATATAGTTATTAAATGAATATTACATTTCATATTCATTGCCAATATAGTTTATACGATAAATGAAACACAAATTTATTTACTATTTATTTACAAATCACATTAAAATACCAAAACTAACAACAAAAACAAATTCAAATGATTATTAAACATCTCATCAGTGTAATTCTGGGGTTTTGTTTAAAAATTCCTATTATTACCGCATAAAAGCTTACAATATTAAAGTAATTGTATTTTTATAGTAATAATTAGTTTTGACAACTAATTCATCAAATACTAGCTTAACATTGAACACAGAATATATTGTATATTAGTATTATATCATATCAGTATATCGATTCATTGCTCACAATATTTATCACAGATTTCTCATCATAAACAACAAAATTGTTTCAAAAAATATAAATTCTCTAAAATTCAGGTCTAATTAATTAGTCGAGAATTTATTTTGTTATTGTTTTTTATGCAAATTATTTGTCACTCCAAATAATATGGATAATGAGTGTAATGAATGTTAACCTTTTGAATACACAGTTATTTTAATGAAATGACATCAAAATGCAATTAATTATAATTATTGGCCGACTTTGCGATGACTTTTTTATGTACAATAAAATTATCTATATATTTAGGTGTCTATAAGATTTGATTAGTATTTTTGGGGATTATATAAAAGTTTGTGTCCATAATGTAAGTCAAACATCACATAAAACTCAGAATTTGTGAAAATTATTGAAAACATTTAAATTTAAATTTAAACTACTTTTCAAACTGTGTTTACTATCAAATATATACTTAATATATAATAAGAAATAAGAATTTTGTACTAAATATTAATATTATAGTTATTTTTATATGATTTTCAATTTTAAATCATTTATTTTGAGAGCAGTTTTAATATTTTGATTAACGAATGAAAAAATACTTTTTTATTTTTAGATTTTTTTCACTCTGTGTTTGTAATCATCGATATATTCTTGAAATTAAATGAAAATAATTTATGAAATAAAACGATAACAACAAGAAAATAGAGTTTAATTAAAATGAGTTCACGTTTTATAAAAATTATGAAAAAATAAAGCAATGAAATTTTTCATTAATTTTGCTAACATTTTGCAAAATTTTAGTCAAAAACAAATAGGAAAACAACAAAAATCTCTACTATTCTATAGGTTTCGATAATAATTGTAAACTTAGGCGAAAGATTTTAAAAGGCTTTTTATAAAATAAAACTAAAAGTTAACATTAAATTTGATTAATGTTTTGGTAAATAAAATACAATCTCAAGACATATACCGGTGTAGAGAGACATACCGTATGTGGGCGACGGTCCCCATGAGATGAGGCTCTCATCGGCGGCCACGACTGACACCTGCCGTCAAACCCATGATTACTACGATATGACTCTCACGGCGACCAGACATGTGATCTCACTCTCTGTGCCATTATCTCATAGGTACCACCGATGCCGTGTCCACACTTTGGTAACCTCCCGAAGGACTACAACAAGGCGGTCCACGGGAACTACTATCCCTTCCGTTATTATGGCAAACGTAAGTCACGGTCTCCACAAAGACCTCTTCATATGGACACCACTCGAGACAATAACCATCTGATTATCTCTTAGCGGACACACCGTTGGCTGATGTGAAGATGTCTGAGTTGACGTCATGGCTGAACCGGCGTAACGTACATCCGGTGGCTATATTTCAGGCCGTTATGAGGAGTTTCTACCGCTTTGAACAGCGCTTCGTTCAGCCCCGGTATGCATACATCGGTCGCGCCTGGAATATGAAGGTCTGGTCTCTTGTGGTGATGTTCTATCTTCTCAATTACAA